ATATATATATATATATATATATATATATATATATATATATATATATATATATACATATATTTACATATATACATATATTTATTTATTTATTTATTTATTTACTTACTATTACTACTTATTTATTTACGGTAGATTTAGTAAATTATTTCGATTCTCCAAATTTGAGGTTGTCTAATAAAAAATAAAATACAGAAGAAATATTTTAAAAGCTAGAAAGGAAACACGTTGCTGATGAGACATCCTGTATAGAAACTAGGTGAACGCATGAAGTTCGTGCTTTTTGTTGTTTGTTGATTTAGATCATGCGTATAAAGTAATAAAATTACATAATGAAATAAATATCTTAAGGCTCTCTAGAGGTAACATCTAAATTTTGACAGGAATGAGGCCATTAAGAGCTAATGCTGGATGTTTTTTGCAAATATCTATGATGGGGAGGATAATAATTATTATAATTATTAAACATCCCTCTTATTTTAATACTCTCCCATGCGCATTGATTCCATTATTGAGTTGCGAAAGCTCTTTTTCCATTCCGCTCATTAGGTCTTCCAGTTATCAAATTTATTGCAAATACCGTCTTACGATATGTTGTGATGCCCTGTTAAGTTTCTACGACACATCGCAAGACGGTATTCGCAATAATTTGATAACTGGAAGACCTAGTGGACGGATCTAATGGACGGAATGGAAAAAGAGCTTTCGCAACTCAATAATGGAATCAATGTGCATGGGAGAGTATTAAAATAAGGGGGGTTTTTAATAATTATAATAATTATAGAAAAATATTAGGGGATTTAGGATCGGTTTGTTAATGGAAGATTGATTCATCGCGTACATTGTAAAGACCGAAAAATCATTTCGGCATGTGCGTTTAACATTACAAACATTATTATTCTCACCATCATAGACATTATGCAAAAAATATCCAGCATCGGCTCTTAATAGCCTTATACCTGTTAAAATTACATAATGTATATTTTTTGCATAAACACCCAACACTGACTAATATATATTTTTGTGGAACTTTATACGAATTTGTACAGTGAGAGTGTTAGTATTATTGTGTCACTATATGTTCCGCGTCACTGTACAATATTACTTTTGCCAAATAAGATTGCGCTTATCTAAAAAGATGAGGGCAATATTGGGTGTAACACTTACATTCGCACTCTGGTAATTTGTGTGTTCTTTTATATTCGGAAGAAAGCGTCTCTTCACTCGAACAGAATCGACTGGTGAGAGGGGAAGGTGGCTTTAATATTCAGTATCGATACGCGATGCTAATAAAGTCAGACATCTGGTCCTAGTGCCATGACGATTTCTCAAGTCCAATATTGTCGGATATCTGAGAGACGAAATATTGATGACGTAACATAATTGTTATCGTCACTCCAGTTGTGAAAACATTGTAAGACTTTGGATAAAATGAATAAAGGAATCATTCGGATTGAACTATATTTTTTTTCTTATGCACTAAGAAATGAGATGCACCCCACACAACAGAAATGTCCTGAATATATTATAGGGATATCCTACAAATATTGAGATATCTTTATAATATCTTTATGATGTATTCGAGACATTTCTGCTGTATGAGACGTAATCCATCATAGTCGATCGCAGTCGTTGGGCAGTGTTAAAATACGCGATGAAATATTTATGAATTTGTGACGATCTATGGAAATTTATGGCGAATTTTGTAAGAAAAAGAGTGATGGTTGCATATGAAATAAAGTTTATTTCACAAATATTTATAATCACTATTTACACGATTCTGTACAAAAGTTTAGAAAAACTAATTCACGAGCACTACATACAGTAAACGCAATCGTCATATAATAAATATGTACATTATACATAATTGTCTAATCACATATAGTTTTTGTTCTATATATATATGTATAATCTCGTCTCAGTATTAAATCTTATATTAAAACAATATTATTTATAAATATATATATATATATATATATATATATATATATATATATATATATATATATATATATATATATATA